TCCGACTGCAAGCTCGTCGCGCCTTCCGCCGATGCTACTGTCGCGAAGACGGTGGAGGCGGCGTCGCCAGCGCCGCAGAAGGGTTCTTTCGAGGCCGGAATGTCAGCGGCCACATCAACGCCCTCGGCGTCACGGCGACGGCGCGCGGCTTCCAGGACGACGAGGGCGCGCTGCAGCCCGCGCTGGCCCTCGTCGACTTAGGCGACGCCTCCCCCCCCACATGGGCGACTGGCTTGTCGCCATGCTCGCCCTTTCGGGCTTCAAAGGCGGCGCGCCGCACATGTCGGTTTAGTTGCGCTCTACTGGTTGCCCGCGGCGTGCGTGCAGCTCACTGGCCAAGTGGTGCACTTCATCTGCGTGCTATGCGGCCTGGCACAAGGCTGTCCGACCTCTGGCTCGCTCTGGGCCATCGCGATGAAGCCGTTCATTCATCACTTCGTGCAGTGCACCGACCGTTCAGTCTTGTTTGCCCTTGGTGTGTGTGTGTGCGTGTGCTGATGATGCTGGTTGTGCTATTTACGATATTAAGATTTTTCGTCCCGTGTTGAGAGGTCGTAAGGCCGCGCCCATCTCGGTTGGGTAAGCGCTGAAGCCTCACAGGTGCATCCTGGTTTCTCTAGCCAGCAAACTCCCGGAACAGATTCGAGGTGAATTTCGATAGTGGCTGTTGGTAGCAATTGATGAATGGAGCGGCGTCGCCGCGGGTGAGAAAGGAGAATGCATTCGGCCCACGCGTGGCCCAGGTGCGACTGAGGTGGGCATTCGAAGGAAGGCCGCTGCAACAGATTTCGCTCGTGTCCTTGAGCTGGCGGCGGCTGGATCACGATCTTCGATGTCGGTGCGGCTGCGCAACGAGCGCGATGGCCATCCTGGGCTACCCGCGACAACTTCGGCCCCCGCCTCGGGCGCTACGAGCGCGAGAAGGCTGGGCACCCCTGAAGGCATTGATGATCCCACTGCAGTCCTGGTCGAGGAATGATGCGATATCTCTGATCTCGCGGTCAGCTTTAACGCCTCAGTTGAGGATGGAAGTTGGGGCGGCGACGATGATGAGGGCGGCCCGCGAAAGGGTGTCGGGTTGGCAGCAGCTGCGCGACTGGCTGCGCCCCCCCGGTCGAGCAGCGCAGTTTCTTCTTCGCCAAGTTTCCAGCACATGAGCCCAACGCGCTGGCTGACGCAGCCTTTCGCCCTTTTGATGCACTTGGCCGCGAGCGGATGCCAGCGCCAAACTGAAACGCTGATCGCGAGCGCTCCCGCGCTCGCGGGTCTGCGTAGGCTGCCCTGAGCGCGGCGCGCACGGCCGCAGCGAGGCCCGAGCGAATGCGCGTTCAATTTATCCCGCGACGTGCCCAAACCATCGGCACCAGGGGGTGATGAAAGGTGTGCAGACAAGGATGCCACAGCAACACTGCAAGAGACGGTGCACGGTAGAGATCTATGTCGCGCGAAGTGTGCGTGGCCGACTCGCATAACAGAGGTACAGCAAGCTAGGAGGCACCGTACTGCGAAGGGGAAACAACATGAAAACATCGGGGTGGAAGAATAACCACCTCGGCAGAAGCAGCGGGATGATGGAGCATGGGCAAGATGAGGCGACACAGGCGGAGACGCAACCAGGCAATGGAGTGCTTTCTTTTTTGTGCGCACTTCGCAGCCTCCCAGGCAGCCGCGACGTTTCAACTGGGCCCCCGTGCCCCCCCCCCCTTCCGCGGGACCTCCCGGGAGCCCACGAATGTGGTTCGGAGCACCCCAGGGGACCGCGAGGTTTCAAGTGGTTCTTCATGGACTTCCATTCCGCGGGAGTTCCCAAGAGCCCACGAAAGTGGCGATGGTTGCGCACCTCGCAGCCCCCCAGGGAGCCGCGAGGTTTCAACTGGGCCTCTGTGGACCTCCACCCCGCGGGACATCCCACGCGCCCGCGACAATGGCGACATTTGCACACTTCGCAGTCGGGGGCGCAATCAAAGTGAAGGAGAGAAGGGAAGAGGATGAAAAGGACTGGGAGACAGGGGGCAGGACGTAGGAGGCAGGAGGCAGGAGGAGGAAGGGGGGCGGAGGAGGAACCGTGGACAGCATCGGTGGTTGGGGTTTGAGATCGCAGTGGAACGGAGACCCCCAAACGGGAAATCGTTTCGTTTCGTTTGTGTCGTGCGTGCGGGCGGTGGCTCTAGCGGTGTCCCGTGGTGGCCCGTGGTGTCCCGTGGTGTTCCGTTGAGTGAGATCGATAGTGAGATCGATACTAAGATCGATGTGGTGCCCCGAGGTGTCCCGTGGTGTCCCAAAAAGTGAGATAAATAGTGAGATCGATAGGGAGATCGACAGGTGTCCCGTGGTGTCACAAAAAGTGAGATCGATAGTGAGATCGATACAAAGATCGATACAACGATCGACGTGGTGCCCCGAGGTAGGGGGGGAACCCAACATCTGACACAATCGATCTCACTATCGATCTCATTCAACGGGACACCACCGGACACCACGGGATACTTGTCGATCTCATTATCGATCTGACTCAACGGGACACCACGGGACACCGCGGGACACCTCTCGATCTCAATATAGGTCTCATCATCGATATCACGATCGATCTCACGATCGATCTCACTCAGCGGGACACCATAGGACACCACGGGACACCTCGGGACACCACATCGATCTCACTATCGATTTCGTTGTCGATCTCACTATCGATCTAACTCAACGAGACACCACGGGAAACCACGGGACACCGCGGGACAGCTGGCGATCTCAGTTTCGGTCTCACTATCGATCTCACTATCGATTTTATTCAACAGGACGCCATAGGACACCACGGGACACCAAGGGACACCACGGGACACCACATCGATCTCACTATCGATCTCTTATCGATCTCACTCAACGGGACACCACGGGACACCTGTCGATCTCACTATCGATCTCACTATCGAACTCACTTTTTTTTCGGACACCACGGGACACCTCGGGCCACCACATCGATCTCAGTATCGATCTCAGTATCGATCTCACTCGACGGGACACCACGGGACACCACGGGACACTTGTCGATCTCACTATCGATCTCACTATCGATCTGACTCAACGGGACACCACGGGACACCACGGGACACTGCGGGACAGCTGGCGATCTCAGTTTCGGTCTCACTATCGATCTCACTATCGATTTTATTCGACAGGACACCATAGGACACCACGGGACACCAAGGGACACCTCGGGACACCACATCGATCTCACTATCGATGTCTTATCGATCTCACTCAACGGGACACCACGGGACACTTGTCGATCTCACTATCGATCTCACTATCGATCTAACTCAACGGGACACCACGGGACACCACGGGCCACCACGGGACACCTCGGGACACCGCTAGAGCCACCGCCGGACGGACGGACGAAGGAGAAACATTTGTCTTGACTTCGCCCTAGCAACGGCGAGTTCATTCCTCTCGCGCGCCCACGCAGCTTCGCCTCGCCCGCAGGCACGACACGAACGAAACGAAACGACTTCCCGTTTGGGGGTCTCCGTTCCACTGCGATCTCACCCCCCAACCTCCGATCCAAAACGAGGGCCCAGCACAGTAGGGCCCAGCACAGAGGGGAGGAGGAGGGGGGGGAGGAGGTGTGAGGACGGATCGCGCAGATCTTCATTCAAAACGAAAACCCAGCACATGAGGGTTGGGATCTGCGTGTAGCGCCACTGTGCTGGATCCCCCAGCAGCCCTCAGGAGTGACGACGGTTTCACATTTCGCAGCCTCCCAGGGGTGGCGAGGTTTTGGTGGGTTTTGCTTGGTGCCCCACCCTGCAGGCTCCCCCAGCAGCCTTCGAAAATGGCAACAGTTTGAAAACTTCGCAGCCCCGCAGGGACGGCGAGGTCTTTTTTGGTCTGCGTGTGGCCTCACTGCGAGGGCTCCCCCAGCAGCCTTCGAAAGTGGCGACAGTTTCACACTTTGCATTTCCCCAGGGGTGGCAAGGTCCCGTTTGGTTCTGCGTGGTGCCCCACTGTGCGGGCTGCCCCAGAAGACCTCGAGGGTGGAGACAGTTCCACACTTCGCAGCCCCCCAGGGATTGCGAGGTTCTGTTTGGGTCTGCGTGGTGCCCCGCTGTGCGGGCTCCCCCAGCATCCCTCGAAAATGGCGACAGTTTCACACTTCGCAGCCCCCCAGGGGTGGCAAGGTCTTTTGGGATTCTGCGCGTGGCCCCACTGCGCGGGCGGTGCTTGCCCTCTAATATCGGCCCGGTTTCCAGAGCCGCTGTCCGTGTTGATGTTGTGTGGCGTCGATTCCTGTGCTCGGACCCGTTGCTTGCTCTTTGCTTTGATGTTTTGTTGTTCATGTACGTTGCCCCCTGCCCACCCGTTGCCACCCGTCGCCGTCAAGCGGCCCACGAATAATACAGTGAAGGCGATGAGGTCAGGATCTGTTCTGGCTCGGAAGGGGCTCGCTATTATTCGGGTCGTTCTATGTTTCCTCTTCTAGCGCTCCTCGTGCACCCAGGCTTTCTTCTGGCCAGAGAGCGGCTTCGTTGTCTATCTAGCGTTCCTTTTCTTAGTAGCTCGACCGTAACGAAAAACAACACAACGCACGTTCAACATACGTACAACAATACAGCAGCACCACCATGCGTGGAAAGGTCAGCTGCTGGTGGCAGCGGAAGTCTTGGGAACTCGAGGTGCACGTCTTGTCATGCTATCTTTCTGAGTTTTCATATTTCGTGTTGTTAAATTTGTCTGTTGGTTGCCTCGGTGCGTCATCCATGTTTTATGGTTCTTGGTGAGACCATCAATGTTTTCACTAATCGGTGTCTTCTTGAATGACGCATGTTCCTCTTTCTCATGCTCCTCCTCCGCCTGTCGCCCATTACCCGCTCTCCAGAGATATTGGCTTTTGCTGTTTACACTCGTTTCAGGCTGTGCTTCAGAGAGGCCCCCACGAGGCCCCTGCCGAGCCACCGAACAAGGGTAATACAGCACGCCATTCTCCCGTGTCCTCCGTCGAGGATGGCCTGGTCGCAGAGCTCAGGAGGCAGATCGAGGAGCTCCAGGCCAATTTCGCCGCCAAGGAGAAGGCGCCGCAAGAGGGGGCCGCAGCGCGGCAGACTTTCGAGCAGAAGGCATCCGAGGAGTCGCGGGGGGGAGAAGTGCACACTGCCACTGGGCCTCCCCCATCCCGCCACGGGCCGGACCTTGGTGTGCAGCCAGCCGATCCCGCCAGGGGTCGGGCCCGGGGGCTGCGCGCACCAAACCGTGACCCCCTCACGGGCTCTTCGCCATGGGCCATGGGCTTCCAACCACGGCTTGCGTCCACGGGCCTCGCATCCTCGCCACGCATCCTGACAATCCAGTCGCGCTGCATGCTTCCCTTCTCCCCCGCGAGGAGGGCGCGGACGGCGCCGCGCGGGGCCCCGACAGGCCCCAGAAGGCCGCGGAGGGCCTCCGCCTGATCCTGCAGAGGGCCGCTGAGGGCACCCAGGCAGAGGCCGCCGACTCGGAGGGCGCCGCGGACGGCGAGGCCGCCGAGGAGAGGAGTGCCGCGGAGGAGGTGGCCGCTGTGCTGAGGGAGCTGGAGCAGGCGACGGCCGCCGAGGGGACCGCCAGAGAGCCGGCCCCGGTGCAGCTGGCAGGGAAGAGGGCCGCGGAGCTGAAGGCCGTGGAGGAGAGGCGGCAGCCGCGAAAGAAGGGAGAGGGGGGGGCGCTGGAAGAGGGGTGCGGCACTCATTCAGAGCCCTGACTGCGCGCCGCAAAGAAAACATTGTTTTTCCCAACCATCCTGCGGTGTTGGGTCCTAGTTTTGAAGAGACATCGCCCCGCGTCTCCTTCCTCGCGCTGCCCGCTCCCTCCTCCTCTCATGATGATGATGATGATGATGATGATGATGATGATGATGATGATGATGATGATGATGATGATGATGATGATGATGATGATGATGATGCTGATGATGCTGATGATGCTGATGATGCTGATGATGCTGATGCTGATGCTGATGCTGATGCTGATGCTGATGCTGATGATCATCATCATCATCCTCATCATCCTCATCATCCTCATCATCATCCTCATCATCCTCATCATCCTCATCATCGTTATCGTCACCATCACCGTCATCATCGTAGTGATCGTCCTCGCTGCCATCATCACCGCCCTCATCACCACCATCGTCATCATCATCGCCGTCGCCACACCCATTGCGGCACACCCCTCACACGTTTCGTGGCTCCGTAGGAGAGCTCCGCGCCGAAGGTCCCAGTGGCGCAGCCCACATGCGTCACGCACACCCGTTGCGGCACACCCCTCACACGTTTCGTGGCCCCGCAGGGGGGCTCCGCGCCGAAGGTCCCAGTGGCGCAGCCCGCATGCGTCACGCACACCCGTAGCGGCACACCCCTCACACGTTTCGTGGCCCCGTAGGGGGCTCCACCGACCGCCCCAGGGGCGCAGCCCGCATGCGTCGCGCACACCCGTTGCGGCACACCCCTCACACGTTTCGTGGCTCCGTAGGGGGCTCCACCGAAGGTCCCAGTGGCGCAGCCCACATGCGTCACGCACACCCATTTCGGCACACCCCTCACACGCTTCGTGGCCCGTGGCGCAGCCCGCATGCGTCACGCACACTCATTTCGGCCACCGAAGGTCCCAGTGGCACAGCCCACATGCGTCACGCACACCCATTTCGGCACACCCCTCACACGTTTCGTGGCCCAGTAGGGGGCTCCACCGACCGCCCCAGTGGCGCAGCCCGCATGCGTCACGCACACCCATTGCGGCACACCCTTCACACGCTTCGTGGCCCCATAGGGAGCTCCGCCGAAGGTCCCAGTGGCGCAGCTCGCATGCGTCACGCACACCCATTTCGGCACACCTGTCACACGCTTCGTGTCCCCACAGGCAGACCCCTCACACGTTCCGTGGCCCCATAGGGAACTCCACCGAAGGTCCCAGTGGCGCAGCCCGCATGCGTCACGCACACCCGTAGCGGCACACCCCTCACACGTTTCGTGGCCCCGTAGGGGGCTCCACCGACCGCCCCAGGGGCGCAGCCCGCATGCGTCGCGCACACCCGTTGCGGCACACCCCTCACACGTTTCGTGGCTCCGTAGGGGGCTCCACCGAAGGTCCCAGTGGCGCAGCCCACATGCGTCACGCACACCAATTTCGGCACACCCCTCACACGTTCCGTGGCCCCATAGGGAGCTCCTCCGAAGGTCCCAGTGGCGCAGCCCGCATGCGTCACGCACGCTCATTTCGGCCACCGAAGGTCCCAGTGGCACAGCCCACATGCGTCACGCACACCCATTTCGGCACACCCCTCACACGTTTCGTGGCCCCATAGCAAGCTTCACCGAAGGCCCCACCGCCCTCGTGCGTCCGCCACAGCCATGTCGGCGCACGCCCCACACGTCTCGTGGCCCCAAAGCGAGCTCCGCAGAATGCCACAGTGCCGCCGACCGCATGCATCCGCCACACCAACTTCGGCACACCATTCACACATATCGTGGCCCCATACGGAGCTCCACGGAATGCCCCAGCCACCGCCCGCGTGTGTCCGCCTCACAGATTTCGGCACACCCCTCACACGTTCCGCGGCCCCACATGGAGCTCCACTGAATGCGGTAGTCACAATTGCGGTTCGCACAGATGCATATGGTTGGGTCCTTCGCCAGGCTAATTTTTTGTCGTCGGCGGCGAGGCAGAGTTGGCCGCACCAGCGCTAGAGCTAGATAGGGGCACCGAAAAGCGAATTGGCCAGCGTGCAAGAGCGGGACGAGGGCAGAGACGGCGGCCGCGGAGGGGGGGGAGAAGGAAAAGGCCACTCAGAGGTGGCAGAGTGGTCGCAAAGGAAACACGAAACGTCTGGGCAGTGTTCGGCCTCCAGGGGCCCTTGCCCGGCCGGTGGACCACCAGCAAACGACTCGGGATGAAAAGCAGGTTCCTGGGAAGGTGTCCAGACATCTGGGTCGGGGGTTCGGAGAAGGGGCGGGAGGGCCCGAGGTGGGGTTGATTAGAGATCGACTCCAGCTGGATGCTCACATGTCCTTGTCTGAGGGGCCCGTTCACAGCGAGTTTCTTCTATCAGGAACAGAAAGAATCCCTTGGGCGAAGAATCAGACATGCTTCGGCGGCCCAAGATCGTTGGCGACGTCGGGCGCAGAATAGCGCGACGGCGAACCGACGACGACAATCCTTGGGAGGCAGCAGAACGAGTCTTTCGCCGCCGGGAGCGCAGTTCCTCGCCCCTGGAGAGGACGGAGGCGGGGAGGGCCTTTTCACTGTCCTGGGGCTCACATCAGCACCCCCGTCTGCTCCTGCCCCGCATTTACTCTAGGTTCGCGTCGTGTCGACCGGTGGCGACCCCGCCGCCGGCCGCCGAACACTGCCGGCGACCCAGAACTGCTCGATGTTGAACGATCTTACGTTGCGGAAACGGCCGATCGTTCAAGGTTGAACGATCCGCGCGGTGCCAGGAACCAACGTCGGGGTCGACAAGACACGAGCTTGCAGTATGTCCTCCCGACGGGAGCCACGGCTCTTTCCAGCTTCGTCAGGTGTTTGATCATGGACCCCTTGTCAACCGTTACCGTCTGGCTTTCGAGCCGAAGACCGCCGAAGACCGCCGAAGACCGCCAGATAACTGCCAGAAGACCGTCGAAGACCGCCCAGGGCCAGTAGGCAACAAGGGGTCCATCCTCGAATGCGTAAAGCTTCGCGACATCACCCTGTGAGCGGTTGGCCGACGCTCAGATTTCACGCAGGTCACGCATGCTAATCGTATTCGTGAGGCCTGTTGCCACATTCCGATGCGGATTGAATTATCTCGCTATGGTTGTAGTTGCTGCGCTTTTGCTTGCAATTGTTGGGCGCTTCGCGGCTCCACCTTGCGGCACCCATGCGGTGCATGATGCAGGCCGATGTCCAATGTCCAATGTCCGATACCCCTCCCAAGCGCACCCCAGGTGCCTTCACAGAGGGACACCCTGCTCGCCTCCCCCCCCCCTTCTCGCGGCCCCAAGAGGATGCAGCTGCCGTGGTGACCGCCCTGGAGGAGAAAGAGCGGGCCACTGAGCTGATGGGGTCGGAGGCCACGGAGGAGGACGAGGCGGACGATGCAGAAGACGAAGAGGAGGCCCGGGAGGTCCAGGAGGCCATTGGCAGAGTCGGTCAGCTTGAGAGCAACCTGAAGACGCTTATGGGCAAACTCTCTTTGAAGGTCGCTGGAAAGAAGACCGTGGATCAGAAGGCCGCGGCCAGCGGGGCCACCGACCAGAGGGCCGTGGAAGATGTTGTCCAGGATAAGGTGCTCGAGGAAAAGAAGGCCGTGGAGGCGACCGAGGAGAAGGCTGCGGATGAGGCCGCTCGGCAACCAGTGGCCTCGGAGAAGAAGGACGAGACGGTCACCAAGCAGGAGCACGGCGTCGACACCGACGCTATAGTTGGCATGCTCAGAGAGATTCAGAGCGAGATCCAAACTCTCAAGAACAACGCCGCCGAGCAGAAGACCACTGAACAAAAAGCGGTCAAGTCGGATGCCGTGAGCACAAACTTATCTTCGCGCGGGACGACCGTGAGCGAGCCGAAGGCGGCAACGGAGGACGTGGCGAGGGCGAGCCGGATTGAGGCGAAGGAGGCGGCTGAGACGGAGGCGGCGGGGGAGGCGGAAGCGAGGGTGAGGGCCGCGATCGAGGCGAAGGCTGCGGCGAAGGCTGAGCGGGATGCCGCGGAGGCGGAGACGGCCGCGGCGGAGGCGGAGGCCGAGGCAGCGGCGGAGGCGACGGCCGCGGCGCAGGCAGACGCCAAGTCTGCGGCAGAAGCGGAGGAGTTCTTCCGCTCCGAGGCCAAGGCCGCGGCGGGGGCGGAGGCCAGGTCGCGCGAGCAGGCCGCGGCGCGCGCGTTGGCCGCTGCACGCGCAGAAGCCAAGGCCAACGCGCTGGAGGCGCAGCTCGAGGATTGGGCGGACTGCAACGAGGGGGCGGTGAACGTGGTAGGGTCCTGGGTTGCAAGAGAGCGGCCCCAGAGGGGTCTTCGCTGGAGCCCCTTAGCTGCCACCACTGGGCCCCAAACCGTGCACGAAAGATGCACGGCTCTTCGCCCCCCCCGTGTAATACCCCCCCCGTTGACAGACACCTGGGAGGACCTGAACAGGAGGTGGGAGAAGAGGGTGGAGGAGGCCAGGCAGAAGAGCAACCAGGAGCTCGTGCAGCTTCGGGAGCAGCACAGGGAAGAGATGGACAGCCTTGAGGCCACCCATGCAAGCGACATTGGCCGCCTGGAGCTCGTCAAGAAGGCCCTCGCCAAGGGCCACAACGATGAGGACGAGATCCGTAGAGACGAGAGGCTCAAAGCGAAGGCAGAGCTCGACGATCTGCGTCAGAGGCAGCAGCAGGAGTTGCAGGAGCTGGAGCAGGAGCATGGGCAGGTTCTCAATGATGCCAGGCAGCGTGCCGAGATGGAGCTTGTGAGCCTTCAGGAGATCCAGGCCGATGAACAGGAGCAACTTACAAGGCTGGTGGATGGTGTGAAGAGCTCTGTGCTCGACGTGATGCGTGTAGTTGATGAGGCCATGGTCGGCAAGAGCAGTTCGCCTACCAGCCAGGATCAGAAGCTGGAGGTACGCGAACAGTCCATAAGCGAGGTGGAAGATCGCCTCATGGCGGAAGCGGATAATGCCTCTCAGCAGCAGCAGAGGGTGCTCGACCTCATAGAGAGCTTCGCCGGCCGCCTGAACAAGAGCGGGATCCTGGACGCGCTGGACCAGAGGTTGCACACGCGCGAGGAGAGCGTTGCTGGCACGGAGAGCAGGGTGTCCGAGGAAACCGGCGGGCTGGCAGAACAGCGCAGCCAGATCGAGGATGTCCTTGAGCTGGCCAGGAGCGTGGGGACGGGCAAGAGTCTTGACGGGTCGGTGCGTGAGGAGAAGGTCGAGGAGCGCGAGAAGGGCGCGGAAGACGCCGAGCAGAAGCTGGCGAGCGACATCACAGCGGTGAACGAGCAGCAGCTTTTGATCGCCGACATGCTCAGCCAGCTCGAGGATAAGGTAAAGCGAAGCGGCGAGATCGACAAGCCGTCCTTGCGAGGGACGGCCCTCCTCCCCCCTGGGTCTCCCGCCCTCCTCGTTCTCCTCCTCCTGCTCCACCTCCCTCTCCTCCTCCTCCTCCTCCTCCTCCTCCTCCTCCTCCTCCTCCTCCTCCTCCTCCTCCTCCTCCTCCTCCTCCTCCCCTCCATAATTATCGACTTTGGTTAAGGCTTGCGGGCGCTGGGGCCATGATGGTTTCGGATGCGAGCCGATGTATGCATACACAGAACACGTGCTCTCACACACTGTTATTTATTCGCTTCGCTCATTCCGCCGGCCCGTATTGTGCCCTCGCTGGCGTTTGGGCTTTGGGGGGCCTTTGGGGGTCCTCGTTGGAGGTTTCTTGGGAGCCTCTTGGGTTTCTGTTGGAGCCTCTTTGGGGTTCCTTGGAGCTCCTTTGGGAGCATTTGGGAGCATCTTGGGGTTTTGGGCGCCGCTTGGGGCCGAGGGCTCGATATGTCCGTTCCGGTTTCCACTTTGGGGCCATTTTGGGCCGTGTCGGAGGCCTCTTGGGCGGTCACACCCTCTTGGGGCAGAAAGCTCAAGTTTTCGGTTCGTGGTCCCTCTCTTGGGCCCCTCTTGGGGCCGTCTTGGGGCTCTCTTGGGTCGTCTTGGTGCCTCTTGGGCCGTCTCGGGGCCTTCTTGGGCGGTCTTGGGGCCTTCTTGGGGGCCTCTTGGGCCGTCTTGGGGCGCTCTTGGGGGCCTCCTGGGCCGTCTAGGAGCGTCGGAAAGGCGAAAAGGCGAGGAAGCCCAAAACCTTCAAAAACCAAGAAAATCACTGATTTGTTTGTATCTTGGGGCTCCGTTTTGGAGCGTTTTGGGGTCTCTTTCGGGCCTCTTGGCGCCTCTTGGGGCCTGTTGGGGGCCTCTTGGGGCTTCCTGGATGCCTCTTGGAGCGGAAGGCTCGGATTTTCGGTTCGTGGTCTCCACCTTGGGCTCCTCTTGGGGCCCTCTTGGGCCGTCTTGGGCGCCTTTTGGGCTGTCTTGAAGCTCTCTTGGGCGGTCTTGGGGCTCTCTTGGGGGCCTCTTGGGCCGTCTTGGGGTGGTCTTGGGGGCTTCTTGGGGGCCTCTTGGGCCGTCTTGGAGTGTCGGAAACGCGAAAAGGCGAGGAAGCCAAAAACCTTCAGAAACCTAATGGAAATCACTGAGTTGTGCCTCTTGGGGCTCCGTTTTGGAGCCATGTGGGGTCTCTTTCGGGTCTCTTGGCGCTTCTTGGGGCCTCTTGGGGGCCTCTTGGGGCGTCCTGGAGGCCTTTTGACGCGGAAGGCTCGGATTTTCGGTTCGTGGTCTCCATCTTGGGCCCCTCTTGTGGCCCTCTTGGGGCCTTTTTGGGCGCCTTTTAGGCTGTCTTGGGGCCCTCTTGGGCGGTCTTGGGGCTCTCTTGGGGGCCTCTTGGGCCGTCTTGGGGTGGTCTTGGGGGCCTCTTGGGCCGTCTTGGAGCGTCGGAACGGCGAAAAGGCGAGGAAGCCACACACCTTCAAAAACCTACGAAAAAAACATTGATTTTTGCCTCTTGGGGCTCTCTTGGGAAGGGTCGGGGCTCTCTTAGGACGTCTTGGAGGCCTCTTGGGCCGTCTTGACGCCGTGTTGGGCGTCTTGGGCCGATCGTTCGGTGATTCGGAGCCCTCTTGGACCGTCTTGGGGGCCTCTTTTGGCCCTCTTGGCGCGCCCCGGGGGGCGTGGAAGGCCGCACCCAGGAGGGAAACCATCTCTGAGTAATAGTTCCCGGGCTTCGGTCGGGGTACTTTTTCGCCGGGGGACCCCCAGGGGCCCGAGCGCTCCTGCTGAAGCTGAGCCTCTTCAAGATTCGAGGGCGCTAGGGCCCCTCGCTACGACGCCGACCACTCTTCGACTGAGGAATGGCACAGCATAGAGCTCTGGACATCCCAGAGAAGCAAGTACTCATAGATTTCTTCGGAGACGAGAACGGGCTGAACTGGCACGCGCGTATCTTACTCATCCCTGGGGGCCAGGGGAGATGGATCGTCTGCTCGCCGACGCTGGCGGTGCAGGTGGCGGACCTCGCGACTCATCGTGTCAGGATCCTCCGACGTGGCGAGCCGATCGACCCACAGTACCTACGCGAGGCGTTCGTCTTCGACGGGGAGATCGACGAGGGCGAACTGGCTCGCATCAGGGCCGAGGCCTACGAGCTCGCGGAGGTCGCGGGCTTCGACTTGACGGGGTTCAAGGCCGCTGGTGGGCCAGTGCCCGCAGTGGAGAACGCACAGTGGCGCGTCGCTGACACGGCCCACAAGGCCTTCGGGGAGGTCGTCCCTCTGGCCGCCCTTCGGGACCAGGAGGGTTGCACGCTGGGGGAGAAGGTCGGCTGGGTCACGATCGACGACGAGTGCGTCTTGATCCAGCAGGTCAACGACGAGAGGTTGGAGGCCTGGTTGTCGGACAAGCGAGCGGGTCCAGGGCGCGATCCTCGTCTTCTGGGGGACGTTCGAGATCATCGGGGGGTGAGGTTCCTCGACCCGGACGCTGCGACGGAGAAGCAGAAGAAGCAGAAGATGCCCTACGAACCGTTCGAGGGTCCAGGGGCGGCCGACGAGTACATGCTGAACATGTTGAGGGTCGGCTTCGCTTTCGTGACGCACAACCTCGACTGGGAGGCCAAGAGTGGCGTCTCACCGAAGTCAGGGTTGGCTCGAGAGCATCGGCATCTGTGCGGCGCCCTCTTCGTGGCGCAGTCGGTGGACCAGCGCGACCTGACGAACAGCCTCTCCAACGAGATGCACATCCGGAGGCTGATCCAGATCGAGGCGGCAGTTCGGCGCAATCCGAAGGCGCCGGACTTCGAGGGGCTCGAGGTCATCATGTGTCACCCGATAGGCACGGGCGGGAGGGTGACCACCAGGGACTTCGCGAGGTGGGTGGCAGAGCGGCAGAAGGACGAGGGGTTCCTCCTCAAGCAGCAGCGGCTGTGGCGGGAGGAGAGGGCGGCGGACGAGAAGCGCCGGGCGGACAAGAAAGGTCCTGCGCCTGGCGCGGGAGGCAAGTAGCCCTCCCGACTGGTGGCGCCGTCGCGCCAGGCGCTGGGTACCCAGGCGCTGGGCTCGGCACGGCGGCGCCGCCATGCCTGGGGAGCAGAGGGGTTTCCGTCAGCATGGAGAGCCCTTCCCAGTTTTGGTACCAGAGCAAGTTCGGCCTGAACTACATGGACTGCCCCGCTACCTCCGACAAAGGCTCAGGAGGCGGGCGAGCCGTGAGCGGCGGATCCACTCGGTGCTGGGGGCCCTCAATGCCTGGACTCCGGGCCGTCGCGCCCTTCTCGCTCGGCTGGGCGGGGGCGAAGTGCAACAGGAGAGCGCCCCCTCGGACCGAGCAGCCAGTCGGTCTTCGAGCGGGTGGCGCGTCGAGTTGGGGCAGCTGGGCGACGTCCGGCCGACCTCAGCGAGCAAGGGGCCCTCAAGGAGCTCCTGCGCACCGAGGACCTGTGCGGCCTCGAGCCCAGCTACTTGGGCTCGTACGCCTACGAGCGGGTCAAGATCCTCGAGTGAGGCATCACGGTGCGGGACGTGCTGGACCTGGTGCTGCCCGCCCAGCGCGAGATGCTGGCAGACCCCGAGAAGCGCATCCTCCGTGACGGAGCTGACCTGGAGCGCGCGAATGAGCAGGAGACACCGTTCACGCCCTGCTGGGACCCGAAGCTGCGCTTCTCCAGGAAGGAGCGCGTCCGCCTGCTCTCTCGGCTTCGAGAGCTCGGGCTTCTGGGGTTCCGACGCTCCATCAGGGCGAGGATGGGGATCTTCTTCGTTTCAAAGAAGGACGGGTTCGCTTCGACTCATCGTCGATGCGAGGGAGGCCAATCGCATGTGTCGCCGCCCGCCCCACACGCGGCTGGGCACCGTGGCGGGGGCTCCCTCGACCTCTCGGAGAGCGCGGTCGGCGACGGGGAGCCGCTGGATGTCCGCGCAGCCTCGGTCGACCTCTACAACGGTTTCTACTAGTTCCGGAGCCGCAAGCTGGGGTCGCTGTTCGGGGTCGACTTCGCCGAGCGAGCCGCCGTCTGGGGGGTCACCGAGATCTTCGACGAGGACGAGGAGCGGTTCGTCCGGGTTGGCCCGGACGAGATGCTGTTCCCGGTCTTCGAGGGGCCCCCGACGGGGTGGTCGTGGGCGCTGCACTTCTGCCGCGCCATCACCTCCGACGCTGGCAGCTCCGCCGCCAGCCTCTTGCAGGACCGTCACGTACCCGAGGCGCCGCGGGCCGGGCTGGCCTACAGGCTGCCGTGCGTTGACCACGCGAACATCATCGGCCTCAGTCGCAGCGCCGCTGAGCGCGGGTTGGCCGCCGTCAAGAGGGACTTCGACGACCGCGGGCTCCACTGCCACGAGGAGAACGCACCCGCCGAGTCGCTCGAGCTCCTGGGGGTGGAGGTGGATGGTCGTCGCCGTCTTCTTCGACCTAAGCCTCGTCGGACTTGGGGGCCCCACCTGGCCCTGCGGGCCGTGCTCCACCGGGGCTGCTGCAGCGGCCTCGTGTTGCAAGTGCTCGTGGGGCACATCGTCCACCACTGCCAGCCCTTGCGCTTCGGGCTCTCGGTGCTTGACAAGTTGTGGAGCTTCATGGCGGAGCTCGGCAGCCAGGAGGCGCCCCTGTGGGCGTCGGTGCGGTGGGAGCTGGCAGTCTCGTCGTGGCTGGTCTTCCTGGCGGAGGCCCGCCTCGGCACCGAGCCGGCCAGCGCGGCTGTTTGTGGCGACTCGTCCTCCGTCGGGCACGCCCTCCACGTCACCACTGTCTCGAGGTCCGAGTTTCGGGCCGCGGCACGGTGCCGGGGGCGGTGGCGCTTCGACGCAGTCGAACGGAGCGACGACGCCTGGGGAGCCGCGGGCGGCTGGTCAGCCGAGTGGCGCGCCTCTGCAGATCCGGGCGGTCTCGTGGCACGCGGACCTCGCGACCTCGGCGGTGGCCCCGCTGCCCGCTGCAGGCCATGGCGCGACCTCGAGACGATCGGGCGCGCGGCCGAGGAGGTGGGGATCCCGCCGCTGCCAGA